TCCCACGTTCAGCTGCTGCCTCCTTGTGTGTCCATTACTCTCTCCCTCATCTCCATCTCCGCATGTGCACCTGGCATGGGCGTCACACTGGTATCGGAGCGGAGCTGACCTCTGCTCCCTCCCTTCCCTCACACTGTTAGGGCCGATGTGCTCTATTAAGCCGTGGTCAGGGCTCTGCTTAGCCAGAGAGCGTTGCTCAGCCCAACGACTGCGGTCAAAGATGCAAGGGACACAGGGCTGTTTCCCAGCATATATTGAATGAAAAGAGAGAGCAGTTAAAAAAAAAAAAAAAAGTTGAAATTTTGGAAGAAGGTCAGGATCATACCTGCATTGTGAAGTCCCCAGCCAAGAATAGATTCTTGATTGGTGTCCTCTGTGCTGGTCTGTAGCTTTGCCGACCTCTTGTCGCTTTGTAAACCGAACGGGGGGTTTTTACAACTTTGTACTTTAGTATCCTGGCAAGGCTTCCATCAGCCTTTATCTCTGTTGGGAACAGTCTCTCGAGCTCCATCATGGTTGCCTGCACAATGTCCTCGTCACTGTGTACAGACAACAAACCCAGGACACCACCACCACCAATCAGCAAGTCATTCTTTTTTTTTTGTTGTGGAAAAACGGGTACCCGCCTGCTAGGGAGGGTGATAAGAGCATCCCCCCCTAGCAGCCCAGTTGCCAGTTGCTCAAGTCTATTGGTAAGGAGCTGTTATGTACCCGATTGAACTTCAATCCACAACGAATTCACACATTCCCATACACGCATGCAATTGCAGAGTAGACTCGAAGGAGGCAAATCCACACAAAACCGGAGAGAAGATATGCACAGTGGAAGCTCAAAATACACAGAATTGAAAAACGAATTTCAATTCTGCAATCCCTCGTCATATGGCTGCCAAGTGGAAGATGGCAGCACACCCAAACCCAACAACACAGTCCTGTGGAAGCTCTCATACAGAGCTGCGAAATAGCAGCAGTGCAATCTTCAACTTCGTTTCCCAACCCCGGCTATGGCTGGGCTTCGAGGAAGAAGATGACCTCGCCCAAAATAGAGCTGCAGCGCTATAGCAACGGACGGGCAGAGTTTCCCCAGCCAACAAAAACGTGAAAAGACCCGAACCCAATTTCCTGCCCGCTACTTTTACCCTCTGCCTAGACCTACGACGGACTCCAAAGGCAACAACCCAAGACTCATCTGTATCTAGATGGAAACAGGGGAAAAGGGGACCTAGACCTATGACAAGGCAAAAGGAAAAGGCCGAATGGCCTAGGACTACCAAACAGAGACTACTAGTGACAGACTCAGGGATCAAGTCCCATAGGGCTCAGCACTCACAAACAAAACACACAGGTTACAGGTCACAGGATCAAGTCCCACAAGGCTCAAAACAAGACAACAAACTACAAAGCCGAACACTTAGTGTACAGTCCCACTGGAAACTGCGATTTATTGCATTCTTACCCTCCTGGGCAGCGAGGACCCACGAGCTACATACCAGCCCATATCGGCGGAGAGGTGTTAGTTAGAGGATCGCTAAACGCCCATAGTGGTGGCGAATGCAAAGACCTCAGAGTCTCAGAGGGTCATGGTGGGATTATCAGATTGGATTGATTAGTTGAATGCGAGGGTATTAGCCAGGTAATCAACTTCTAGGCAACCAATCAGCTTCTGAAAATCTACAGGTTGTAGCTCAGACTATCAGCAAGTGTCGGCTAGCTGAATGCAAGGGTATTAGCCTGGTAATCAGCTTATAGATAGCTAGCAACATCCTGAAAATCAGATGATCAAGGTTTAGATTAACAGCATGGACCACCTAGTTGAGTGCAAGGGTGCTAGTAATCAATTTGCTATAATCCATTAATTCTGAAAATCTGATTAATTTCTGTCAGGACTGGGTATCAGTTAGACTCCTCAACTGCCAATCTGTGCATTTGCAAGCGTGATACGCAGATTCTTCCCAAGAATCTGACAAGATCTGTATATGGGGCTAAGCCTGACCATATTCAGCAATAACGCTTGAACTGACAGAGTCAACAGATTTGACTCTGGCCAATCAGGCTGAGACATTACTAGGACAAAGCCCGGTGGTTAAAAGGAATTTGCAGCTCTAGAGGTAAAATTCAGAACACAATCACAAGTGTGTGACCACAGAGAAACACTGAAAATCTGATTTCTACCCGAAAGAGCAAAACTTAGGACCGTGTTGGAGAATTCCAGGTGAGATTTGTACTAATCATACTCTCATCCAATGAGTGCAGTTCAGTGTGAGAACATGAACGTGATCAGACAGTGAATGCCACTCACAGGAAGTACAAGGGGGTAGTCAAACAAGGATTCAATGTAAACTCACATTGGAATTCTTGTCAGACTGAAAGCAATCTTGGGGCTGATTCATCGTCAGGAGAAAATGAATTCAGTCCAATTAACAGTCTGTCCATCAGCAGTGTTTGAGAAACTTGAACAAGCCCGGAACTTAGCGAATTCTTCCTCAAGCACAGGTGATGTACAGGCAGGTCAAGGTGATCAGCTAAGGGGCCTAATGTGGCTGATCACACAAGCACAATCAACGAGCAAAACGTATTGGAATCTGACCCTGCTTTCATCGACAGGGGACTAAGTCAACAGGGTCTACCGCTGACTGCTTCAGGTTCCAGAGTGGTGGTGCCCCCAAGATGGGCAGTACTCAACAAAGTGCTGGGCACTGCCCTGCACATCTGAGGCAGACACCAGCATCCCTCTTCTTTTGCCACAGCCCGTCTGATATGCGGAAATCCCTCCATGGGAGGGTGGAAGGATCCATAGGGTTAGCTTGACATTTGGCAAACTTAGGCAGGTTTTGTTTTTGCGGCCTACTGGGGCGTTTGCCAAACCCCTTAGAGGAGAGGGGGACCTTTGTCTTTGAATCCAATTGTCGCCCTTGATGGCGCTCAACAGTTCCTGAGCCAAAGTCAGAATAGCCTGATCTGGGAAGCCTCGTGCACCTTGACCAGCTGAGGGAGTCAATCCTCTCTCGTCAAAGCCTGCAGAGTCTTCCTCAGACTCCATCACGTGCCACCTATCTTTACTTTTCCTCTGACTCTGAGAAGGGGAGGTGCTTCCCTTTTGGAAGTGGATTGGATTTGGAGTTTGGCCTCCAGATCCACGACTGCTCTGCCAAAGGCCCTCCAGTCCTTGTGACCTGCCGTAAACAGGGTCTGTACATAGGTTATCAGGGTAGCCTGGATAAACAATTGCAATTTCTCCTGGTCAGACATTGATAACCCAGGGGTAGAGGTTAGTCTTTCCCAAACTGCATAGAGCTTGGAGAGGGATCCCTGCTATTGTGACTGGCCTAACCTCACAAGCTCTGCAGCAGCTTCCTTGGCTCTCTCTCGATTGGCGAACCTCTCCTCCAGACCCTTAAATATGTGGTCCAGTCCTACTGTAACAGCCCAGTCAGCCAGCTGTTTCTGGGCATATTGGCCTCAAAAGTAGCCCACTGAAGTGCAGGCCCTCCCAAACGGGCCACAGTGGACTGCACCTTGGTAACCTTTGGGCAAGTGAGTTCCTTGGGGTACCATCTCATCGAGGCAGTCCAATCTGCTACATCTACTTTGGGGTTATCCCCAATGAATATTTCAGGTTGGATTGTCTTGGGGCGCCTCGATTGCTGCTAGCCTAGGCCTGCAGTCACCTTAGCCTCAAAAGTCACAGGGTGCCCTACCACAAGGTGCAGGGACTGCACCTTTGGAGGTGTAGCCGGTCTGCTCTTGGGGCTACTGGCTTGGGATGATGCAGCAGCAGAGGACCTTGCATGGGAATAGGGTGTAGCAGTAGGAGTAGGACTAGGAGTAGTGGGAGTAGGAGTAGGGAGGAAACAGAGATTAACAATTGCCACAAAACGATCAAAGGAATCTGCAAGGGAGGAGAGTTTGGTTTCGATGATGGACAGTCTATCGAAGTCAAACTTTCATCCCAGGAGGTGTGTTCTTCCCTACTCACTTCCTTGGATTGTCTCGACCTTCCTTCCTTCTGCTTCTCCATCTGCTCCAACTGCAACCGAGCTGCTTCTGCAGCCTTGCCTACTTCTCCAATCTTCAGCTCAATGACAGGCAACTTGCAATTCTCTGCACTGACTGAACTCTCTTCCCCCATTCCAGAAGATGCTTTTCACACAACAAGATAAACGCGAAAGTGTGCAAAGGTTGAAGACCATTCACTAGTCTACTCAGACATGGAATGTGGTGCTGACTCCCAACCCGAACAAGTTAACAGACTTGACAGGCTCACGGGAATGGCACTGACCACCAGGACTGACCAACAGGGTTGTACTTCCAATGGCAGTCTTAACTGATCTGTGACCTCCCGCTGATGGCCTCACTTACCAATTCCCAACTCTGCGTAGGACTGTTTTCAGGTGCAGGGACTGACAACAGTGACTGACACCCAATCGCACATGGACCCAACCTCGACCAGCGAATATCTTTCCACAGAAAATTATTTATTTGTTAGAAAAGACAAATAAAATAAAAATGAAATACTCAGATTACCGTTCACACTCATAACCCAGGTAATTAGAGTTAAACTGTGCTGTTTAGTGGTATGGGAAACACAGCAGGCTAGTGCCAAATGTCAAAAGACAGTATGAGAGGTTATGGGCTCAGCCCAACAGCCAAAACCAGCAACGGATTACTTTAACTAAGCCCACAACCAAATCAGAAACGGAAACTTTTCTTTTCTGATCAGGCTCACAACAGAGCCTTCCCACAACCGTCAACATTCCACAGCAAGGGAGAGAGATATTGGATTTATGCAATCATAAAATAAATTAAATAATAAAAAATAAAATAAAAGGCCGGAGCAGATTTCAATCACTGCAAGTGCAGACTGCCAAAATAATTCCCTTTCTTTCTTTCTTTTTTTTTTTTTTTTTTTTTAATTTTAAACAGGTCCGTATGGTCCTGGCTCCATATCCATTCTGGGGAGCGTCAGTTCGGTTACTACTCCCCCGGCAAGTCAAAAATGAATACGTCATGAACCCACTCACGCTTCCTTCCGTTTGGCCGAAGGAACCCTGACCAGCATTGATTGCTCCCATTAGGAGGATTGACTGTCAGCTTGCCTTCCCCTGCAATCCCTCTCAGATCCCTCTGTCGGAATCTGTCAAATAATCTTAAAAAAACAAGGAAAGTGGAGAACGGCCCGTGAGTTGCTATTTCGACCACCATTAGTGTCTTGTGACTCATATATACGTCCTTATGTCGCCTGTGGGTCCTGCGGGCAGCCAGCAGCTTGTTGCAGTGGGCTTCTCCAGCTAATTTCCGAGTTGTGCCAGTCTTTCCAGCTCAATCTGCGTTCTCTTAGCTCGGCCACTTTTCCTCCCACCAGCCACACTTTGATAAACTTGGAGAGGATAGTATTCTGTCTCTCATCGTCCTCGGGGAGTGTCTGTTTCGTTTTGTGCCATCTGCATAGGATCTCCGCCTGAATCAGTGTCCTGGTTTCTGTCCAAACCTTTTCTCCTGGCGTTGATAACCCTTCACTCGTTCTGCTGCATCTCTCCTT